ATGGCCCGGGTGCGGCTGTCCTCCGGCAGCCTCCAGCTGGATGAAGAGGATGAGGAGGTGTCCTTCACCATGGGTGCCGCTGAAGAGAGGACTTCCAGGGGGGCCTCCAGGTATTTCACTTAGGTGCCTCGGACTGGCTGCAGGGAGCAGAGGTGGCCGGGGCTGACCCAGGGCCATAGAAGGGTGATGCTTGCAGGGCTGCTTATAGCTTCTGGAATGTTGTGATGAGCTTGTGTTGTGTGAGTGCTAATTGTTGTGTTAATGGACAACAAGGGAGCGTTCAGAAGAACTCAACCCCCTTTGCCCTGCTTGGAAGCTGGTGCATCTCTGCCACCACACACAGGGGTCCTGCTCCAGCTAGAGGGGCCAGGGCTCTCCTAAAGCCTGGCAAAGAGCTCGTGTCCTGCCCAAGGTGGTGGGTGCTGGCTGCGCATGGAGCTGAGCCGCTGGAGTCTTCATCGGGTGAGAGTGACAAAAGGAAATGAAACAACTCATAGAGGAGTTTAAAGTCCCAACACTGATGGGAGGGGTGTTTGAGGCCCATTTGGAGAGGAGCAAGATGGCCAGGGAGGCTGCTCCTGAAGCTGATGGCCCATGGGCACAGGCAATGCCCCAGCACAGAGTCTGTCTCCTCCCTCTGACGCTGCAGGGAACGCCTGACCCTTGAGGACAAGGTAGCATGTGTGCGGTGCTCCTCGTGATGCTTGGAGCCATGGAGGAAGCAAACTGCTCTGTCTTCTCCCTGGCCAGTTTAGAGCATTATCCTTTCCCAAGAAATATCTCTGCAGTGCTTGTAAATCATTTAGCAGCATCCCACAGTGAGGTCTGGGAAGAGGGTTAATGGCTGATACTGTCTAGCTCTGCTTCTCTTAGGCCCATTAGCTGCCATTTTCTGGCAGCAGCCCCAGCACCTCAGTGCCCTGCTTAAATCTGGGGGAGCAAAGCATGTAGGGGGGATCCTTTGCTCCTCCAAACCAGGCCTCACTCAAGCAGCATGGGGAAAAAGAGCTCAGGACTCAGGAGGGGATGGGAAAGAAAGAGGCAGCCAGTGCTCACCCTTGGCGTAGGGAAGTCTGCTGTAACCATGGTGCTTCGAAACTTTCCTCTTTGCTACGAGAGCAATGTTATTTTTACCAGAGCTGTTTCTGGTTAGAAAGAAGCAAGAGATAGGACTTCTCACCATCCATGGGGCAGCAGGAGGGGGATTCTCAACTTATCCATTGCTTCCTGGAAGGGAAAAGGTATAAAGATACTTCTTGGAAGCATTTTCATTACAGAAACATATTATTACCCTAAATCTAAATTAAATCTACTCAGAAAACTGGAGAACGATGACACCTCTGTAAGATTTTAGGGGAGGATCTTGTTACTTTTATCTTTAAGAACAATTCTGTAAAACTCTGTAGGATGTGACTGCAAGGAGAGGGCAGCTCAGTAAATCCATGGATAAGAAACCACTGTGACCTGCTAGAACAGATATCAGAAACAAGGAAGCCGTGACAGTGACAGAAAACAGGTAAAAATATAAAAAGAACTGGGCTTATGGCTACTGCTCACCCTGTGCATCGCTGTCCTTTGTTTTAGAAGCTGGACAATAAAAATCAGTTGCTCACACCAGAGTTTTGGGTTCCTCCTTCTGCCCTGTCATGTCTGCACCCCTAGCCCACCTTCCCCTGCGCTGCCCAGCTCCCAGGCAGCCCTCGTTGCTCCACGGAGCTGCCGTGCTGGTTTCTCTCTCCCGCAGCCACTTGCTGGCTCCCTCTGTGCCTTCACTGTCTCAGAGACTGAGGAAACTTGCTGAGATCCCTGAATGCTGCTGAAAACAACCACATTCTTGGTTGGCTGCCCAAAGAAATGCATTAGATCAACAAGAGCGCACACTGTAAGGTTTGCTTTTGCTCCTGGTTACCCTGTGCTGAAGCAGCTGTGAACTACAGGGACCCCAGTGCTGCTCTGGAACATGTTCTATTTAAAAAAAAAAAAAAAAAAAGGATAAACTTTCTGGTTATAGAGAGTTGTTTCTTCCCTTTCTCAAAGCTCTGCACCTTGGAAAGAGCAAGACCCACCACTCAATACAGCATTTAAGTACAGCAGTGTACATGAATGATTTGGTAGAGGGGAAAAGCAAAGCAGCAGTGTTTCAAACACACACTGCACCCACAGCCCTTGGAAAACGCCCCTTAAAGGGTCGTACCTTAAACACACAGGCAGATCTACAAGTGCTGTTAGCTCCTGAAAGCATGTGGAGCCACAGGGAAAGGCTGGCCCAGGCAAGCTGTACCTTAAGCAGTCGCACCAAGAGGGAGCAATGTGCAGCCATACTGCCCAAATCTCCAGGAGCTGCCAGCACGGGCATTCAGGACTATGCTGGGAAAACAGCACTGAGAGGGAGAAACAAGGAACTTGGAACTATTTTTGGATTTTTCCATTGAGTAGAGAGCACTGGGGCACAGCGTGTGCACTGTGCCTTAGCACATCCTGCACAATGGTCAACAATAGCAGAGGAATGAAGCTCGTAAGTGACAGAAATTAACATCTCCAAGCTAAATTCATTGCTTAAAGCAGCTTTCTTGGGACTCACTAAAAGGAGCAATCCCAGTAAGCAGCGGCTCACATGTCAAGGAACAACCGAAATAACCCTTGAGTAAGTCCCTCCTCCCAGTCTCTGCTCAGTCCTATTCACCGAAAAGAGGCAAAACCACCTATTTAAGTGATTGTGTTTCACTAGGGAAGAAGAAAACAAGGATGGGGAGAGGACATGGAATGATTTGGTCTGCTGTCAGCGAAAGGCTGACAGCAGTACCTGGAAAGTGCAAACTTTGATAGCCCTTAGGCAAGCAGGGACTAGTAAGGGGGAGGAAGCACAGCAGCATTTACACTGTAAAAACACGAAGCTACTCAGTGCATTCAGACTGAGGCAACTGAGGTTCATATCAAATACATCACTTCTAGATGAAGCTCCTCTTGAAATTCAGCCGCACAGTGTTTAGCAACTTTTCAAGCATAGGTGTGTATGTTAGGAAATAAAAAGCAGCGAAATGTGCACAGTATACGAAGAACTTCAGTTTGGAGAAGCACTAAGGTTTCAGTGTATTTGCATCTCTGCATTAAGTGTTACTTCATTTACTGGAAAAATGTGAAATAAGACAAACCAACATACACACCACTAAAGCTTCGCAAAGAGGAAAAATAATTTTATTCCAGTGTGAAGTCATAAAACAGTGTGATAAAAATCAGACCTTTAACAATTGCTAAACTTTGTGCAAACACATTAAGAACCTACGTACCTTCCTATTCAGCTACAGACATTCCATGGAATGCAAGAACGGGTGTTGATGATTAATCCCACATGCCGACTGCACAGAAGCCCTGTAGCAGAGCCAGAGACCAAGGGTTTTAAGAATGGTTACACCAATAAAGGACTCAACTACCCAAGAACATACACGTTTCTCTGTTCTGTGATTCAGACTATGGTAAGACGACTTCCATATCAACTGTTCTCAACCTACAGTGGGAAGCCCAGCAAACCAAACAAGCAAGAAGATGGTTCCTGCATGAATATTTTGATTTATCTTGCCATTAGCTATCTGCCGGCAACAGAATACTGCTGATTAAGTTACACAGGTCATCAATAACTAACACATGGTGGCGAAAAGACAACTGTTCTCTGGAAAGCAGTAATACAGACATCCACTCTTTAGAGTTAGGTTATAGTCTTATGATGCACAGACTTTAGGCACAGAAATGCCATATGCAGTACATTAAAAAAGCCTTCCTGAATGGACTTGAAGAGAACGAGGCCGTATTATACACATGTGGATGAGGTTTTTCTCCACACTGTCCTATGAGGTAGGTGTACATCCCACCTATTTCACAGGGATAGAGGCACCATCATTCAGCAACTTGTTACAGTCATATCACAAACAGGACAGGTTCCAATTTCCCAAACAGGTCACTAACCCTACTGACCCAGAATCGTTTTGAGGTGCATAGATTAAAGACCCTCTGTCAACAGGGTAGAGCCACCAGTTACAAAATCCAGGGGGAATTTCCATCACCTCTCCCTCAGTCTCCCACATAAAAAGAACACGTTAAGGGAAGCGACATGCAAGTAAAACCATGTTTTTAATTCTGAGAAATTCATACGGAGCTCTTTAACACGAAAATTGTGTCGAGACCGCTGGAGTGAGAGCCGAGGTAACTGCGGAACAGGCTTTTTTGTTCTCTCACTCCACACCGCCGAGTTCACAATGAAGTCAGAGCATTCCGACACCTCTACCATGCTGTCACGGGCCGTGGATGTTTGTCTGAGCACACAGATCCTGAAGATTCCTCTTTAGGAATGGAATCAAACTGAACCCTGGGGCTGCTCCATCTGTCTATAGCATTCCCTGTGGCATAGCAGCTGGTAGGTGTCCCCCGGACAAGAATGGCATGGGAGGGACCGAAACCTTTTCAAAGCAACCACGCAACTCTCTGCAAGGAACATCTTTCTTTCTTGAACTAGAGCACAAGTTTGCAAGAGGTACATCCACACCTCTGCACATCTACTAAAATCCAGAATAAAACGCACAACAGAACAAGCTCATGAAAGTTTACAGAACTTAAATATTTATTTTTAAACCATTTAAAACCCCCCAAAACATTGAAATAAGCTTCATCTATAAACAGATTTACAAGACTAACAACTACAGAAGCTAGAGGAGCACTACAATTTGTTTCTGTGATGCAGTTATTTTGTAAAGCTTCAGATCAACTGTATTTACAACTTTTGCTGCTTTTACATTTATAAAAATATTTATTTAATCCATAACATTATTGTTTTCAAAAACTATTTCCAGACTTTTTTCTCAGATATAAATTCTAATCGAATTTCAGTTATATAGCAGATGAAAGTTTTAAACAGAAATATTTTTTTAAAATTAAAACAAGGAGTTAAAAGTAATTTTTTTTTTTTTTTTTTTTTTTTTTTACAGTGTAGGCACCATTGAAAATAATTGTCCTTGGCATATCTAACCACCATCTCTCACAAGTGTCCTTTATATAAAACGATGTAATGGCAACATTTGACTAAAAATGCAGTATTTACTTGCACACCATTACTTTTTCAATATTTGGCAGATATATTTCAGATTCTTTAAAATGACTTTTGTGCAAAAACAAAATGTGCAGGTCTGAACCATAAAATAAACACACCCAGCCTTTATCAAAAATAAATTTACACCAACAGTTCCACAGCTAAGTACTGAAAAACAATCCCAGTTCAAAACTTCAGCATAATATACATACTGGGTTGAAAAAGGGAAAAAAAAAAACCAAACCAGAATAGAAGATATTACCCATCTAGCAGTACCATAAATATATAACTGAAAGCAACTTTATAGTCTTACCTACTTTTTTATGAAAAAAAAAACCAAAAACAACAAAAAAAAAACACTCCATACTGCACAGTACTACCTTTTTGTGAAAGAATATCTATAACTCAGTTATTTGCATATTAACTGGTAAATACATATTTAAAATACACTTTCAGAAAATTATAAACAAATTATGTTGATGTACTGTACTTAATGTATTTAAGAACAAAAAACGTGTATAAATATCTTACAGGAGAAACAACACCACCACACAGAACGCTGGTGTTACACTTATACCTGCTTGTGAGGTATGTATCACGCGACGCTCGGCTTCTCTGGCTCCCTTCCACCCAGGCATGTATACTCAGAGGAAAAAAAATTAAATTAAGTTAAACTGGACTTCAGGTTTTGTCCGTTATTGCCAAAAGCCCCACCCCCTCAACTGTATTGCTTTAAGTTTTCCTACCATGATGATATAAGATGGAATTACTACTTTGAAACCTGTTCTAAAAGGTAATACATCTACTGTACATCAGGATATACCTGTTGCTACATATCACCTGCAAACTATTGACATATTGCTCTCAAACATATTTCATCATAGAGCTGCCTAAAATACTGTACCAATTGAGAATTCTAATAGAGACCGTTGCAGGTTTATTTTTCAGGGCACAATATCTATATGCTGGTTGAAGCAGGTGCTACAGCAATACCCTTGCCACTACACTACGTGTTTTGAATACGCTTGTGAAAAAGCTATTTTCTCTGAAGCTTGTTAGTGATTTACAAAAATTTAACTCATGAATACAAAAGACCTGTACACCCCCATGTACAGGAACAAAATAGCATCAAAACATACTGCACTTGCACTTTCTATTAACTAAAGTAATGGTTATTTCTAAAAGCAAAACTGCACCTCAGCGTTTATCAGGTTAAACAGGTGAAACTACAATATTAAAAGTTGGTTCTTTACAAAATAATTTCCTGAAAATATAAAACCATGTGCACTGCCACAAAATAGTCGAGTAGGTTCTTTCAAATCCTCAATCACCATCAATATGTTGCAAAGATCCAAAAGGCACAAGGAGCTCATGAGCTAAGCACTG